TTGCTCAGGTTTTGGTATGATTACAAATTGGCATTTATAAAGTTAAATTGATTTAAAGAGTGCCATTCTCTCCTTTCATCATTTTCTCCTAACCACTGTTCCATTGTATGTCAGAATTCTTTGACTTTTTATAATTGCTGTAGTCTTTCCATCTTTACTTTAAAGCATGTTATTTTGCCTTCCATGTTAATTCTTCCTTATTGTGGTCAATTATAGTGCAATAGTTGAGAAAAAAATAGAGATGAGAAGAAAGAAATGACAGCATTAGCAAGAGCAATAATAAGCTTAAAAATGTTCTATATAAAATGCTTAATATATGGGGGCTGGCCTGGTGGTGTAGTGGTTAAGTTCATGCTCTCTGCTTCGGCGGCCTGGGGTTCGAAGGTTTAGATCCTGGTGCGGGCCCAGCACTGTTCTCAGGCCACGCTGTGGCAGCATCCCACATAAAGTAGAGGAAGATTGGCACAGATGTTAGGTCAGCAACAATCTTCCTCAAGCAAAAAGAGGAAGATTGGCAACAGATGTTTCTCAGGGCCAATCTTACAAACCTCCCCCGCCCCAAAACCCCTCAATATATGCAAATTTTACAATTTATGCGAATACAAAGGTGGCCTGGTTGATGTCACTTGGATTTTCTAGGAAATCATTGGTTAAGATCACTAATTCTTTTTCCAAATCTTTTTTAAGCCATTGAACTCTTTCTTCAATGGAAGTTGAATATAGAATCTCAGTATTAGAAGAAGAGGTGCTGTGTTTACAGGATGTGGTTGAGGTGGCATAGGATGTGTGTCTGGTAGGCTAGAGCCTCAGCTCAACCACGTGCTGCTTCTTCCCTTCTCCCTCCCCTTTAATAACTTTTTTTTTTCTTTAAAGATTTTATTTTTTTTCCCTTTTTCTCCCCAAAGCCCCCCGGTACATAGTTGTGTATTCTTCGTTGTGGGTCCTTCTAGTTGTGGCATGTGGGACGCTGCCTCAGCGTGGCTTGATGAGCAGTGCCATGTCCGCGCCCAGGATTCGAACCAACGAAACACTGGGCCGCCTGCAGCGGAGCGTGCGAACTTAACCACTCGGCCACGGGGCGAGCCCCCCTTTAAGAACTTTTGAGCCACGGCCTCCTCTCCCCTAAGGTGTCTCTGGAGTACAGTTTGAAAATCCCAGATAGTATTCTGAACTGTTCCTCAGTGATGAGCCATCTTACAGATTAAGCATTTGGTGAATTTCTGCACATCCTAAATCCTTAAGGTTCTAAATCTCCATACAAGTCTACTTACAAATGAGTGACTCAGGAGAATTGGCAGCAGTGGGCTTCGTGGAGACTTTTTGTTTTGTTTAATATTGGTGTTGCACAGATTATTTAAATTCAAAACCAAAAAACTATCCAGTGCTCACTTGCCTGAGGGTTAGTAATGTAATACTTAGGGCCTTGACTTCTGTTTTTATGGCTTGTAGTCAAGAACAGAGTTGAATGGGACCTTAAAGAGGAAACACTGCTTATTTTGCAAGTCTTACAAGTTATTTCTGAACCTTTAGGGCAGAAGCTGTAAATTATTTAACAGGTGATACATGATTCAAGTTTCGAAACACAAAACCGCATAGATATTTGGAGTAATAGAAGGATAGCTATTCAGAAAAGAGAATTCATTGGATGCTTGCTCATGTTTATAGAGTCCACGCACTGCTCTAGGTTCTGTACTAAGTATGTTTCTGATATGTGTCTCGTTTAATCCCCACAATCCTCCTGTGCCTGTATTGTCACATTTAAAATTGATGAGAAAATTGAATCTTGAAAATTGATTGAGAAAATTAAGTAATGTGCTGAAAGTTATAGTAAGTAATGGACCCAGAGTTTGGTTCTTGCTCTGTTTCTTCAGAGACCAATGGTACTTGCTTTTTAGGACATTATGATCTTTTCGGGCTGCCAGAACAAACTCTAAAACAATCAGTGAGGTGAGAGTGAGGTCAAAGGTCAACACCAGGGAGTCATACTAGGACATGGGTGGAAAAGAGTAAAGTTCATGGGAAGGGACAAAATGGTGTGTTTGTAATGGAGACATTTACTTTATAGGCTAATTTAGGTATATCTAGGTTTCCCTTTCGCATCTTTTACTTTATTCAACTTTTCGGTTTTTTATTACCTATTTCCCACTTCTTACTCCACATTAGTCATACATTATAATCTCAAAATTGATTTTGGTTCTGTCATCGTTTGTTTTTCCTCCTTCCTCAGATTCTTCTCTGGTTTAAATGAGGTAAAGCGGTTGACTTTTTTTCCTTTACTGTAATCCTTATGCATTTGAATTTTGTTGTTGTTGTTTTAAACAAAATCACATTTTCCCCCAAAGGGCTGTCCCAATTCCCCATTCCAGAAAAATTTAGATTTAGGGAAATTTTGCCTCAGAGAAAAAAGTTTTTGCTAAGTAGTCTATATGTCTAAAAAAAAAAAGACCTTAAACATCTTGAAGTATATACCAATGAAGTATTTAATGAATATTGTCCCAAATAAGTTTGAGAATCTCTACATGTACTGTATCTTTCCATTCCATCTTGGAGATAGCCAGTGAATGTTAGCAGTTAGTTCTTATAATGTTAGCATTTTGGTTCTTAGATTTATTTAGAATATTTAGAATGTGGCCTCTCAGTCTTCACTGATCCAGTGTTCCTTGGAATATATTTTAGAAAATGATACGGAACCATTTATAACGTTATATTTTCTTTAGTTTCCTAGATACAAAATGTTTCCAATATAACGTTCAGAATTGTGTTATTTTGTGATTTTTTTTTTTTGTTTATTCAAAAGTAATTAGTCAAGATTTAAGATAGAATTCAAATGGGATCCTGTCATGCTTAAAAATTAGTCTAATGTTAAACTGTTCTGAAAAACCATATTTCCTTAACTTTATATTTTTTTGTTTTTGGGAATCCTCTTGTTTTACGATAGATTTTAGGGTTCTTTCTAAAAATGTTAACTTAGAATTTTTAATTTGGGGATATTTTTATTCCAAGGAAAATAAAAGATGGTTATTGATTAAGTTTGAGTTTGATAATTTTGACAATGAAACTAACCTAATGAACTTTTTACCCTAAATTGCTGGTATATCAGTAGTCTACCTCCTGAGTAGATTGCCAGTTAGGGTGTATTTTTTTAAGCTCTCTGGTTTGTGATGTGAAAACATACAGGAGATTTATTGGACATACTGAATTTTATTTACGAATTTAATAAAATTTTGAATTTTTTTTTTTTTTTGAGGAAGATTAGCCCTGAGCTAACATCTGTGCCCATCTTCCTCTATTTTATATGTGGGACGCCTGCCACAGCATGGCTTGATAAGCAGCGTGTAGGTCTGTGCCTGGGATCTGAACTGGTGAACCCTGGGCTGCTGAAGCGGAGCGTGTGAACTTAACTGCTACGCCACTAGGCCGGACCAGAAATATTTTTATATAGTTGATTTCTTTCAGTAGCCTTGATGTAGGGCATATAGGATGTCACAGAGAGGGGGAAAAAAGAACATTTAGGCCTTAGAAATAAACAGAATTGAATTTGATTTAAATTATAGTTACCTTGAATAAGTTATTTGATATTCATGTATATATCAAGTAATAATAAATAAACCATATGCTGGTTGTGGGGGTGGGAGGGTGAGCTGGGGGGAAGATGTAACTTCTGTTTTTAAAGAATTTAGACACTAGTAACATTCACTTCATCCTCTCTAAGTCTGTTATATTGTTGGCGGTAATGGAGGAAGAGAACTTAAAATCCCAAAGATAACACTTAGAGGAACCATAGATGCTCAATGTGAGTTCGGTTATATGTTGTCATTCATACTATTTAATCATAGAACTACTCTGAGACATCAAAATATGGATTAAGTCCCTTCCTTGTTTGGGGACTACATTGCCTCTAGAGATTTATTTTAAGTTGCATTGATGTTTCATTCATTCAAATATTCTTTGTTCTAGCACCACACGTCCTTGCCAAGCTTCTGCAATTTGAGGGCCCTGTGCCATTGCCTTGTGCTTTTTTGCTCCTGGTTTCAGTTTTTCACTAAGCACAACAGTCTGTCAGACTCCACAAAAATTACTTGTTAATTTAGCCTAGTGAAAGTACTTGCTTGTCAGTTTAAAAGAACAAACCTGTATTTTGAGAACAAGCCATCATGTAGGGCAGGGGTCTGCAAACTTTTCCTGTAAAAGGCCAGATATTTTAGGCTTTGTGGGTCTCTGTTGGAACTACTCAACTCTCCTGTTGTAGCGGGAAAGCAACCACAGACAATACATAAATGAATGAGTGTGGCTATGTTCCAATAAACTTTATTTATGGGCACTGAAATTTGAATTTCTTACAATTTTCATATCACAAAATATTCTTGTTTTGATTTTGAAATTTTCAATCATTTAAAAATGTAAAAGTTGTGCTCAGATTATGGGCCCTAGAAAGACAAGTGGCCAGTCAGATTTGGCCACCACCCCTGATCTAGGTGGGCATAATCTATGAATTTGCTGTAATTGTCATTGTATTATAATTGTTAGGCCTTTAGGTGAATGGTCCTTTTTAATAGCAATTATATATATCAGTGTTTATGTTCTCCGTTTTTCTCATCCAAGTTTACTTTTATAGACTAAATATGTATGAATAGTAGAAAACCAATAGGAAAAACATAAGGTGTTTTGTTTTGTTTGCCATATCCAGTTAAGAATTTGAAGGGCGTCTATTAAAGGCTCGTTACCCTCAGATTTTTCATTCACCTCAAGTCAAATTCTCTAAATGTGAATTTCAAGTAATGTTTACAATGTCTTCTACACTTCAAATTTAAAAAATTTACACAATAGTGTTTTTTATCTTTTAAATAATTTGTATGTAACTAACTACACATTTGTATAACATGAGCACTATTGAACAAACCGGTTTTTTACTTTGAAAATAAAAATGATTTTTATGTTGACTGTAATAATTTTGTATGTTAAAACTGTAACTTAAAATTCTGTTAACTTGCTTTCTGTAGACACCAGAGAAGAAACAATCGGAATCATCTAGAGGAAGAAAGAGAAAAGCAGAAAACCAGAATGAAAGTAGTCAGGGTAAGTGAAGCAAAATCTTCCTTCTGAGCCAAATAGGTGTTTACAATTAATTATTCTGATTTTTAATCAGTTAATAGTTTAATTGTAAAATAAGTAATTTTGTGTTTTTGTGATTTCTATAGCTATTATGTAATTTCTGCATTAATGATAGTTTAGGAATGTACTTTGCATAAGAAATAATAATAATATTAAATTGGAATCTTTTTGTACCACAGGTTAAGTTAGCGTATGGTTACTGTTGTTAGGCTTTTTGACATTTCTCTTGTTTTTTTTATTTGAGAATTAGCAAGACAAGTGTCATGTCCAAACTTGGCAAGCACTACCTTTTCATTTTTCTTTGTATATAAATTAATGATATTGAAATGGCTTCTTGTTTTTGAAGAACTTTAGATCTCGCTTTAAAACAAATACCCAAACTTATTTCTTTTCATTAAAAAAAAAGACTTTGTAAAAATGATTGAGAGACTTTTATTAATGCACCATCGTTTTCTTTCTGTTTTTCATCCTTCTTGCATACCTACCTTTTGTAATATGAGCTAAGAAAATTAATTTCATTAGACTACAAAAATTCTTATAATAGACAACTAAATAGTATTGTCATTTAATCTGGCCATTCAACATTAAATACAATAAACTTGGCTCTTAAATTATGTATAATGATGATTTTATACATATGTTATTACATGTTTTGGAGCCACTCATTAGCTTAAGATCTAGGGCCGTGAACCCATGGCTTACTAGTGTTTACTTGTGGCACTGTCATCAAGGACTGTATTTGCAGCAGCTTTGTGGAAGGAAGGCGTTAAGTAACTCTAGCACCTTTCTCTAGGTGTATCTCAATCTGCCCTGAGCTCTTTTTTTGTCTTAGTGTAGTTCCCCTAAGTTGTGATTAGGAGGAGTTTTATTTACTGTAAAGATGTATTAGTTATGATAGTTTTCACTTTGGATTTAAAGACTCATTTAAAAGCAGGTCCCAGAATAGGATGAGACTTCTGGGTTGCTTGGTCCAACCTATGTGTTTAAGAACCCATGTTTTTTTCTTTGTCATTTACCATCCACAGAATTGACTGATTTTCTTATGGTTTTAGGATGGTTGCCAGTTTTAATTGGATCTATTTGCTTCAGCTTCCTCATTTGTATTTGCTTTAGAGAGAGGCTGGCTTTCTGTGGTTTTTTTCCCCCCTCTCTTTCTTTGAAGTAAGCTTCTTCAAGTCCAGAACAAACCTCTTCTGTCTTCTTATTGGGTCGTGTGTCCATTTCAAAACCAGTTATGTCCAAAAGAGGTATTTATTGCCCTTGTAAAAATCAGGCCCATCTCTGAAACAGAAAATGGGGTAAAGTTCCCCTTAGAAGTAGAGGCTTTGCGGGGGCCGGTCCCGTGGCCGAGTGGTTAAGTTCTCACACTCCGCTTTGGTGGTCCAGGGTTTTGCCGGTTCGGATCCTGGGCGCGGACATGGCACTGCTCATCAGGCCACACTGAAGGAGGTGTCCCACATGCCACAACTAGAAGGACCCACAACTAAAATAAACAACTGTGTACTGGGAGGCTTGGGGAGAAAAAGCAGGAAAAATAAAAAAAGAGTGGCAACAGTTGTTAGCTCAGGTGCCAATCTTAAAAAAAAAAGGAAATACAGGCTTTGTGGAGAAGGGATAATAACTGAACAAAATTGGATTTCTGATCAGAAGGAGGGAAGGGGAACTAGAAATGAAGGCCGGATAGGAGTCAGCTTCCGGTAAGTTATTCGTGCTGTGTAGGGGAGGGAATGTTAACAGAAGAAAATTTGGGTTCAATTAGAGAAAAAGAAGTGGGGAGATAGCTTCTAGGTAGGCAACCAAAAACATCTCTGCTTCATTAAAAGATAGCACCTCTTCAGAATCTGCAAGAAAGTTGTCGTAGACAGAAGAGAAATTCCTTTGGTATAAAACCTTTACAGTTGTCTCTGACCTCTAAATAAATCTGTACAAAATGCTTGTTCAGAATTTCTAGATAGTGTTTATAATTCTGAGTACTTACTTAGTTTTTAAAAAAATCCTCCTACCTTGTTTAAAAAGAAGGGATTTAAGGTTGTTGAACTTTTAAGTGTATTGTTTGTTCATCTCAGTAATGCCTGGCACATAGTAAGTAACTACTCAAGAAACATTTGTTGAATAAAATAAATGAATGAATATGTCAGTATTGAATTGATAAGTTTATGTTTATATTATCCAAAGCTTTTGACTCCATGGTATGGTTGATTTTTCTTTTGTAACTTGAATAAATCATGTATTCTATATAGTTCCAGTGAAGGATGGATGCCTCCCATCCAAAAAAGTATCTCTAAACACATATGTCTTAGCAGTTTCTTAATTCACTATTTGTAGAAGTAATGAAGAGTCCATTTTAGAGCAGAACTTTTAGTTAAAGAACTGTCATCTGTAATGATTTGGATCACTTTATCAATATGGTCTTTTAAGAACAATATTTAAAATCTAGTTTATTAAAAAACATCCTATTAATTTGGAAATACTTTTTAGAAAATCAAAATATTTTACAAAATAGCAGTCAGATTAAAGTATATTGTTGTCAGTTTGTTGTGGTTTGTGTTAACCAAAACCTTTTCATTATTATTTACAGGTATGAATTGGTTGTTAATTATGCAGCTGCCACTTGTCTTTTCTTTTTTATTCATTGATTTGCTTTTTTGAAATTATTAGCCATTTAGCAATATGAATAATGTAGTTTTAAAACTGGAGATCCTTTAGTGTCACTACTTATTTGTTCTCCAGTAATTGGGACTTTTAAAAATTGACATGTTTCTATTAAAATGTCATTTGATTTTTGGATGTCTGAAATTGGCTTCTGACCCTCTGAGGAATTTTAATGTTCTTTTAATGCCCATCACTACCCAACTAAAATATCATATTCTTTTTATTAAATAAATGATTCTTGTGTGTATTAGGGAAGTTAATTTTGGCACGTTATCTTTCTGATATGATAGATAGTCATGACTGACTTTAAATCTGTAAAATTTTTTACTTTTATATTTTAGGAAAAAGTATTGGGGGACGTGGCCACAAAATTAGCGACTATTTTGAAGTAAGTTCATTGAGGAATATCTCCAGTTCTTAATATAATTCTGCTATGGGCTGAAAGACTTTCTTTGAAGCACAAGGTCAACTTTTGATTATCTACTGATTAGAGCAGAGCTTCAGTACTATGTGGTGTCCTGTCTTCCTAGGAACATTAAAATTTACTTTTACATCGGTATGTTATATCATAACTTTCAAAGTATTTTCTCACATATTTGCTTATAATAACTCAGGAGATAGGCAGAGTAGGTGTTAATATTCCTGTTTTACATATGGGGAAACTGAGGACCAGAGATGTAAAGTAGCCCACCTAAGGGAATTCTAAATGGAAGAGCCATTTAAATAACTACTGGATTTAATTTAAAATAAGATATATTTAAATGAATTCTTATTTAAAACTGTTTTAATAAATAGGGATGTTTCCTTTTTTCCTCAGTACCAAGGTGGTAATGGCTCAAGTCCAGTAAGAGGCATACCTCCTGCGATCCGTTCTCCTCAGAATTCACATTCACATTCCACTCCTTCCTCATCTGTGAGTTGTTACATGCATAGTCTTATGTATAGGAGGTTATGTATACTGAATAACTTTTATAATTTGTTTTTATTGAGAACTTCTATGTTAGTGTTTATGTTTTAAAAAAATCGTTCTGTGAGGTGAGTTGAATCCTTTTTAATGATCTGTTACTATTAGAACTTTATTTCTGAAAGTGGGAGTCTTAAAGATTTCCTGAATTAATTAATATCCAAGAGGTAATGTTTCTGTAATAGAATACTGTTGAGGCTGTGGGACTAAAATGAATACTCTTGTATCAGTTCATGTTCAGTTACTGATTTCTAATTTCTAACTTTCTTTTCAATTAAATTCCCCCACCCACTAAAATTATAGCATAATTCCTTTCTGGGAATCCTTAAGAAAAAGCTAGGCAGCCGTCAACCTCAGATCATTTAGTTCAGCATGGGAAAAGGATCTTGGACCTAAAAATTATCTTACAACTTTTTGGTTTGTTTCTAATATTTTAAGATCTAGTGCTTTTATATGCATTGTTTTATATATTGGATTTCATTTTTTTCTTTACTTTCATTATGTGAAAGTTGAGTGTCTAACCAGAAAAAGAATACTGGCTTTCAGTAATTTAAAGATGAAATAAAGATTTTTAAAAATCAGAGTATCTCCAGTTTATTCAAGTACCTTGTTTTTGCTTCCAGTGTCCCTTTCTAGTCCTGGTCTGCAGACATATACTTAGTTGTGTCTTACTCATTTTGTACCTTCCCATATACATGTTGTACATATTGCCATATACACAGCAAAGTGTAAGACTCTACAATAACTTTAAGAGTTGTGGTGATAGCCTTGATACAGTGATGTAATCTGCTCATTTCAGTGAATGTGTTTTAAAACTAGTGACTAGATAAACCATGAAACTCATCAGCAAATTCATGTTATACTACATATGGGCATGCATTATTGTCTCTAGTACAAAGAGTTCTATAGTGACATCTTTTCTGTTTTACTTTTTGAACCATCATAATCTGTTTTAAATATTTTTGTTTTAAAATAATGTATTTGCTCTAGTTTTATTTAATAGATCGAAAGCGTTAAAATTCCATTTATGGTACGAGAATGTAAACTCCTCGGGGGCAGGGAATATATGGTTGTCTCTCTCACTAGGCATTATGGGGGGAGATACTTAATGAATGCTTGTTGAATAAATGGTGGTTAAAAGTTTTAAAAAGTCAGTTATGTTTTAATTCAGTTATTATCCTGATAAAAACTTAAGAAATGTTAAGAAGTTGTTTCTAAATAGAAACCTGTTTTTTTTCTTGCTAATGTAAAAATTTTAATATTTTTTAAGGTTCGGCCGAATAGCCCTTCTCCTACTGCGTTAGCTTTTGGGGACCACTCTATTGTACAACCAAAGCAGTTATCCTTTAAAATTACTCAGGTAAATTGTAATTAAAATGTTTTGTATGACTTCTAAGAAACCAATGACCAACTTTGTACAAACAACTAAGTCGTCTTCTCTTTGTTTTAGACATAGTCATAAAGTAAAATTATGTATCAAGAAAGCTAATTACTAAACAAAGAAAACAATTTATAGTGGGTGAGAAATTGAAATAGCCAGTTTACTATCAGCTTATCTTTTGTTACACACTGGTTAAATATATAGATGTTTTAGGCAAATTAAATAAATAGAACAACCGTAGCATGTCAGTTCTGTTTACTGATTCTTTTTGAACTTAACATCCAAATACGTATCATTGATGTCTTCCTGAAGCTGTTCTAAGTGGACATTAAAGCAGTTCATTTTGGGTGTCTGTCTGTACGTATATTTGTATATGCTACACACTTAGAAAAATCATTTGGAAATTGAATTAATCAGATATCTTTTACACTTAATAGTTTTATAAATCTTGAGTGCTAAGTCTTTCATTTTAACTTCTTACATGTGACAGTTTTTGGGTGACAGTGTCTCAGATCAGAGCTTGGGAAGGTGGATCTTTTTGCATGGCTACCTCAGTTGCCTGATTATTTGCCATTAGACTTTTTCTGTCGGGTCGTGTCCAAACTCTTGGACATGCATCAAAACTTCTCTCTTTGGATGATCTTTAGGGTAGGATTACAAGTACATTCCTTTCAGTCAGTGAACAGCTCATGGAAGTTTTTGCCATGTTCAAAACTCAGTTCAAGTTGATAGCACAAAGCAGTGGTTATATTGAATTTTAATGAAGAATATATCAATATTTTAAAAACTTAAATAATTAACCTTTTAAATGTTTCTTTGTAAGTTTGTAGCACTTAAACTTCTGAAGATATTAAAACTTAAAACTGCACTAAGACTTTTTGAGATACCCTGTACATACACACACAAACACATATTTTCTTTGCTTTGTGGAATCAGAGTAAAATCTAATTGTATGTTTGCATGTAGTGATATATGTATAATAGAGATAATAAAATAGCTTTTTATTCATTTAGACTGATCTCACAATGCTGAAATTAGCAGCACTAGAAAGTAATAAAAACCAGGACCTGGAAAAGAAGGAAGGTCGTATAGATGACTTGCTCAGGGTAAGTAATAAGTCATGGAGGGAGGGGCTGGCCTGGCGGGGTAGTGGTTAAGTTCACGCACTCCGCTTTGGTGGCCTGGGGTTTACCGGTTCAGATCCTGGGTGCAGACCTACACACCACTCATCAAGCCATGCTGTGGTGGCGTCACACATAGAAGGACTTACAACTAGGATATACAACTATATACTGGGGCTTCAGGGAGGAAAAAAAAAAGAAGAAGATTGATAACAGATGTTAGCTCAGGGCCAGTCTTGCTCACCAAAAAAAGCATACCTAAAAAAGCAAAAAGAGTGGGCTTTAAAAAAAAAGTCATGGAGGGAATAAAATTGAGTAAATTATTTGGCAATAGTAAAACTGGTGAGAAAACACTTAGCATTGTAAAAAAATTCTATAGCTGGAAAAAAATAATCTTTTTCTGGTAATGTAAGTAGATGATTGAAGATATCAGCTTTAACATGAAAATTATTTTATTAGCTCTTCAAATATGAATTGAGAAACAGTTGGAGAAATAGAGGGAAACAAGATTTATTTGATCAACTATCATAAGACAGATATCCATTTCATGTTAGTTTTAAAGTTAATTGATTTTGTTATAAACCTATCATTTGATATTGTACAAGAGGAAGTAACCGCTGTGATCCTGTGAGATTTTTAATGGAAACTTTATAAAAAGACACATCAGAAGCTATACTTACAGTGCGAGTAAGGTATGGAGCAGTGGTTCTCACCCCTTGCTGCTCATTAGAATCACCATATGGAAAAGGTGGAAGGCGCTTGATAAAAGTACTGATACCTAAACTCCACCCTGAGGGCTTCTGATTAAAGTGATGTAAGGTAGGGCTTGGACAGTGGTAGGTCTAAAAGCTCCTCCAGGTAATTAAACTTTAAGCCAGCATTGAGAACCACTGGTATAGAAACTCAGTAAAACCAGCATCTGTGATCCTACTGTAATTACTGATACCTTTAAACATCCAGTGTGCCTTTCCTGATCCCATTCCATTCACTCTCTCATATCACTTTACAATTAACCACTGTTCTAAGTTCTGTATTTATTATGCCTTTTTGTGTCTTTATGGTTTTATTATATATATCTATACATTCTTAACAGCATATTATTTCAGTTTGTTTTTGAACTTTAAGTGCAGAATTACGCTGTATGTACCCTTTTTCCCTGTTTGTTTTCACTAAACCTTATATTTGGGATTGTCATGTACTTTCTTCATTTCACTGCTATATAGTAAGGTATTATATTAGTATAACATACTTTGTCTTTTCTGCTCTTGGTGGGCATTTTGTTTCTGCTTTTTGCTAATATAAACAATTCTGCTAAGAACATTCTTGTACATGTCTTCTAGGGCAAATGTGGAAGAATTTCTCTATAGTATATGCTTAGGAGAAACATGACTAGAGTATAGGGCATGCACATCTTCAGCTTTACTCTGTAATGCCAAATTTTTCCCAAAGTAGTTGGATCAGTTTGCACTTCCACCTGCAATGGACAAGAAATAGTCTCATTGCTCATTATCCTTGCCAAGGCTTGTTATAATCAGACTTACATTTTTTGTTTTTTTGGCCAGTTTAATGGGTGTAACAAGGTGTCTTTTATTATGCATTTCCTATTTATTTTTTGAGCATCTTTTAAAATATTTAACCATTGTGTTTCTTTTGTGAAATAACTGATCATGTTTTTTGCTCATTTTTCTTATTGGGTTGCTGTCTTGTTTTAATGGAGTTCAGTTTTTTGTTGGTCATATATATTGATTTTTCAGTGTGTGAATTGTCTTTTCATTTCTTTATGTTCTCTTTTGATGATTAGTTGCATTTAAAAATTTTTATATGATTAAACATATCTTCTTGTTTATAGTTTGTTTTGTTTGTACCAAATTATCATCAGACGTATACTTAAAGAATTCATTCTTTTTATCCCTAAGATCATAAAGCTGTTGTTCTATATTTTCTTTTCAAAGTTTAATAGTCTGGTTTCTCAATATAAGTTAATCTCACTGGAATTAGTTTTTGAGTATAATGTGAAGTAGGGTTTCATTTTAATTTCTTTCTATATAGATAACCAGTTATCCAGCCCAATTAATTAAAAGTCTACTCTTTACTGTCAGCTCCATCATATATTCTAGTTTCCATATACAGGTGGATCTGTTTCTGTTTTCTCTGCTATGTTCCATATTCTATTTGTATATTCCTATACTGGTACCTATTCTAGTACCACAGCATCTTTTTATCATTTAGCAGTTGTCATTTAGCTGTTAGTAACAGAAAACATAAATGACTATACTTTAAATGAAATAGAATATTATTTTTTGAGAGAAGAACAGAAGTGGGTAGCCCAGGTATGATGGCTCCATAGTTTCATATGGGATCTTGACTCCTTCACTTTTTCTGCTGCTTCATCTTTAGTTCATGGCTTCCATCTTGAAGGTCATATCAAGGTACAAAATGTTTAGTAGAGTCACAGTTATAATATCTGTATTCTTAAGCATAAAACAGGAAGAGAAAGGGAATAACAAAAAATGCAACAGTTCTTTGTGCAGCCTTCTTGGATATTCCATGTAACAACTTCTGCTTACTTCACACTGACCGTCCTTAGCTGCAAGGGAAGCTGGGAAATGTGGTCTTTTAGCTAGGCATATATCAATCTAGAATAAAATGTTTGTTTTCCATTATTAAGGAAGAAGGAGAAAATAGATTTGAGTGCTCATAATTACTGTAGCTTTGTATTAAATCTTGATATGTGGTTGAACATATATCCTCTCCTTTTTGGCTATTTTTGGCCTTTTGCAGTCTTAGAAAAATGTTAGAATCAGTTTTTCAAGTTAAACACACATACACAATTGGGGTTTTTTTGTTTTGTTTTTGTTTTGAGGAAGATTAGCCCTGAGCTAACTGCTGCCAGTCCTCCTCTTTTTGCTGAGGAAGACTGGCCCTGAGCTAACATCCGTGCCCATCTTCCTCTTCTTTCTATGTGGGATGCCTACCACAGCATGGCTTGCCAAGCGGTGCCATGTCTGCACCTGGGATCTGAACCAGCGAACCATGGGCCGCCAAAGCGGAACGTGTACACTTAACCGCTGCGCCACGGTGCCAGCCCCCACATTTGGGGTTTTTGTCTGGATTTCACTTAATGGTGAGAGTCTATTGGTGCTAAACTCCGTTATGTTCCTCTGAAAGTGTCTTTATTTTACCCTTTTCCTTAAAGACCAATTTTGTTTATTACATAATTTTAGATTGGCAGCTATTTTTCTCCACCATTTTCAGTTTATTATGCCACTGTCTTTTGGCTTCCATCATGATTGGCCTAGACCTGTGGTTCTCAAAATATCCCCAGACCAGAAGCATCAACATTACTGAAGAGCTTATTAGAAATAAATTTTCAGACCCTACCCGAGACATACTGAGCCAGAAACTCTGGCAGTGGGTCCTAGCAATCTGTGTTCCAGCAAGCCTTCCAGGTTATTCTCTAATCACTGTACTAGACTAGTCTCCAGAGCCTAGAGAGAGGTCTCTTCCCCAAGCGTGTGGCTGCCTGCAGAGTCAACAGAATTAGTAACTTGTTGCCAAGAAAGATGTGGGAGTAGTCAGCCATTGGATAGGCATCTACAGTGTCATCCACAAGTTTAATGGAGATAAAAATTTTATTAGTTACAAAAGACAGAAGAGAATTCACATTCATTTTTAAGTGTTATACACTTTATATACCATATTTCAGTTATTTTTAACTGAGGTAGATGGCATTGCCCCCATTTTAGAAATAAGAAAACTTGAACTAAGGTTCAGATAACTTACTTAACTTAGCCAAGGTTATATACTTCAGAGTCTGAATTTGAACCCATGGAGTGTGGATACAAATTCCATGTACTTTCCACTAAGCAAACAGCATTTTACAGTATTATCACATGGTAAGTATATGTTTAAAAACATTTTTTAGTATCATACTCAAATACTTAATCCTATTAACCTTTTCTCTTTATACAGTTTTGTTCAGTGTTAAAATTATTCCTGGGGCCGGCCCGGTGGCCGAGTAGGGTTAACTTCGTGCGCTCTACTTCCGTGGTCCAGGGTTTCGCTGGTTCCAATCCTGGCGTGGACATGGCACCACTCATCAGGCCGTGCTGAGATGGTGTCCTGCATGCCACAACTAGAAGGATGCACAACTAAAAATATACAACTATGTACCGGGGGGCTTTGTGGAGAAAAAGGAAAAAAAAAATCTTAAAAAATATTCCTAAGCGTCTCATATACACAAATTTTAGACATTTTCTATTTTCTTCTTATATTATAGGCTAACTGTGATCTCAGACGGCAAATAGATGAACAACAAAAATTACTTGAAAAATACAAAGAACGATTAAATAAGTGCATATCAATGAGCAAGAAACTGCTTATTGAAAAGGTAAGTTAAAAGTTCAGTACATTTTTCCTTTCCTTTCACTAGCCCCTTATCCCTTGTACGCTTTTAAAATTTAAATGAATAAAATAAAATGATGATTTTTCCTTCTTTTTTCAGAGTACACAAGAGAAACTGTCAAGCCGAGAGAAGAGTATGCAAGACAGATTACGCCTTGGGCACTTCACAACAGTTAGACATGGTGCTTCATTTACTGAACAATGGACAGATGGTTTTGCATTTCAGAATCTTGTGAAGTTAGTCATTCTTATATTTTAAAAAATTTAGTATTCCTTTGGGTTTTCATTACCTTCAAAGATTATAGCTTTGGAATTCTGTTCTGTATCTACACCTTACTAGTCTTTGAAATCATAGAATTTAGTATATTTGAAAGGAAAATAAAACAGGGGTGTTACTTAGCTTTAGCAGACTTCTTGATTAGTTAGCATTCATCTACACAGTATGATGTATTATTGTAGATATGACTTTCCAAAATATAAACTGACCTTCTAGCTTTTATAGATGATTTGGGAAGAAAATTGGTGAAAATTTAATTTTCATTGGCAGATTTATATCTATATCTATATCTATCTTGGAATTTTTCTACTTAGTTTTTTTCCCATTCCCCAATCCTTACTTCCGTGTTAATATTCACTGTGCCTGCTCTCTGTCTGTATAAAAGATACAGGAACTTTTTCCTCTTTTGCCTCAGATACAATAACTCGTAAATTAGTTGAACTGAACAGTTCTAGCGTTTTTAGTGTTTCTGAGGTAAACTTTAAAGGAAAGAAATCATTGTTACTGTATTTTCTTGAATTCAGATGGTGATAGGTAAAGATGGGTTGATTGTTTATGTGTTAAGGAGCCAGGGCCTCTGCTGCTCCTTTTTTGCTGGGAAATTTGTAAAATCCTGAAAAACAGGAGTAGTGCCAGCATCTAATCTACATCAGCTTTCCAAGAGTCAATCTAGTTATATGGAAAATGGAGGCAAAGCTTTCTTTCACGCAGTATCGCAGAAACATTGCTGTTTCAAACACTGGTTCCCAGCATTTACCACAGAATGGCCCTCTCTCTATTTTAGTTGATTTATTCAATTTTTGTTCAACACAACTGTGCTGGTGTTAGGTATACCATAATGAAGGACAGTGTCCTTGTGATGCTAGGGAGTTTGGGTTTTAATTCTGTGGATAATAGGGAGGTAGTGTGTAAGGTCAGAAATGAGTTTTAGAAGGATAACTCTCGTGTAATATGGGAATAATCTTGAAAAGAAAATAAATTCTTGGCCGTTCAGATGGAGGAGTGTCCAAGTGAAAGGTATTAGCTTGAGCTAAAATCTTGACAGTACAAGTGTAGAGTAGGAGATACATTTGAGATAGAAACCATAATTTTTGAATGTTTTATGAGCAAGAACCTCTGCTACTAAACCCAGACCTACAGTTGTCCTGGTAATGAATAAAAGAGAAGTTACACAATATATACCTTAATATAAACTAAAAATATAAATATAAAATATAAACTCTGCCAGTTGTTAAAATTTCTCCACTGAGCAATCAAAAAAGAGTGAAATTAGAGCTTCCGGGTTGGTGCACATGTGGTTAGTGGGGAGAGTGGCACACTTGGAGAGCGCGTGGAGGCTCTGCTCCCTTTCCCTGTGCCTTGCTCTATGCATCTCTTCCATCTGGCTGTTCCTGAGTTAAATCCTTTTATAATAAACCAGTGATCTGGTTTAAAAGAATTACGTGCATTTCTTATCACTAATAAGCATTTATTGAGAGCTTACTGTGTGTTATGTATATATGTTATATCAAGTTGTTTATCAGTTTGTATCAGTGATAGAACCCAAAGTAGTTGGGGGATGAGAAGAGAAATAAATAAAAATTAGTAATATTAAATTAATAATCTCTAAATTGTGTGGTCATTCCTGAATAATCAGCTGTTAGCTATATATCCATTCCAGTAATTCTTTACTTTCTAGTAGGATTTTAATCGTTAGAGTTACTGCTGTTTATTTTCATTTATAATATCTTGTCTGTGCTCTAAACTAGCTTTAAAAATTAACATTTTTAATAAGTTGAAATTATTCCTACTTCAAATGAAAATGGATTAAAGTCTTGTTCTAGCTTTGCTATTCTTAACATTTTCTCTACCCTTTTACTCTCTATCAGGGTGGTTCTTGATTCTTTCATTCCTGCCGTATTCTACTATGACCTGGCCAGGACCATAGGGAAAGGAAATGTGTGTAAGGCCAATTCTGCGTCAGCAGAGTAGAAGTTCTGTAGTTCTGATTTGAATGGGGGTGGGGAAGCAAGGAATTGAAACATTAAGCCGTTCTAAATCTGAGTATCATAACAAGGGAGAGTTTTAAATTTTTTCTTAGCATGGCGAGGTGACCTAAAAGGGAACATAGCTGCTATTAGAACAAGCTTACTTACCTACTTAATACTGTAGTCAAATTGCTAAGATCTCCAACCTATGTTTGTATAACAGACATGATATCTATTTAGTTTTTAGAATTGGTAAGCTTTAGATTCCTGAATGGGAAGCAGTAATATTTTTACTTTTATTAATTGACCATTTTTCAAAGTCATGCTGTGCTGTTTGTTTAAATTGTCAAAATTCCTTCCTTCTTCCTCAGTTTCTTATATTAATGTCAATTTTTGTTTCATTTCAAAATATTGCTTTCTCATTTCCAAAATTTCTTTTTAACAGAGATAAATTTAGAAAATAGCACTTTATTAAATTTGTATTTGTCTTTCTTAAGTTTTTCTGCAAACATCAAGTGATGAGATGCAAGTAGAAAATCTACCCCATTCTTAACTCTTAGTTTTTGTTTTATTTATTTATTTATTTATGTTTTGAGGAAGATTAACCCTGAGCTAACTGCTGCCAATCCTCTTTTCGCTGAGGAAGACTGGCCCTGAGCTAACATCCATGGCCATCTTCCTCTACTTTATATGTGGGATGCCTACTGCAGCATGGCGTGACAAGTGGTGCCGTGTCTGCACCCGGGATTCAAACTGGTGAACCCAAGGCCGCCAAAGTGGAATGTGTGCACTTAACTGCTGTAGCACCAGGCCGGCCCCATTAGTTTTTATTTTTAATAGCTCATTTATTTCATTCAACAAATATTTATTGAATACTTAGTATGTGCCTATCGCTGTACTGGGTACTAGGGATACAATAGGACATAAAATATTTGTGGTGTCTGTTCTCATGGAGTGATGTAGTCTAACCAGACACATTGTGATCGAGTATCTACAGGAATGTGTGTGTCAGAAAGAAGGAGGTGGGGAGCTACAAGTTACCAGGAGATGATGTATGGCAACACGTCTTTCCCTAGTCCAGAGGGTTTGGAGAAGACCTCATTTAAAAATAAATGTTTCAAATGAGACCTGGACAGTGAGCATGAGTTGGTTCACAAGGGTGGGACCATAAGGTTACAAATTTATATTATATGGTTTTTCATGTCTATTGATGTATTTTCATGTTTTAACTGTGAAAAGTAATGGAAGGTTAATAATAGAAGGTTAATATGTTTCTTTACATTTATTTTTATACAGGCAGCAAGAATGGGTGAATCAGCAAAGGGAAGATATTGAAAGGCAGAGGAAACTTCTAGCCAAACGCAAACCTCCCACAGCTAATAATTCTCAGGCACCTTCTACCAATTCTGAACCAAAACAAAGGAAAAACAAAGCAGTCAATGGAGCAGAAAATGATCCCTTTGTTAGACCAAATTTACCACAACTGTAAGCCTCCATTTTCAATTTTCCATTTTAAAAATTGTTGCCAGTGAGCATGAATGTTAGTAATGGATGTTATTTATAATTAAACTAATATTTAAATAGTAAAAATAGTTACAGCCAGGAAAGGAGGCAGTATTGAAAATTTACTTCTAAATTAACTCAGATATCTGAATTTTATCTTTGTAAGTGGAGATTTATTAATCCTCTTTTAAAATGAAGACTCAGGTAGCTAAGACGAGACTGGAATCCACTCTTTCTTCCATGTCTGAATGGTAGTCAGTGATCAGTTTTGATTATTCCAATTCAGTGTTTCCATTAATGTTCTTTTTTTCTGAGAGAATGTTAACTGAAGTAATGTAACTGACATATATTTCCTCAGCCTGTGAAAGCAATACATTGTTAGAGCATAGGTATTATTTTTCCCCTTTCTGCTTTTCTTTATTTTCTAAATTTTCTGCATTAATGATGAATTACTCTTTATAATTCAAATGACCAAGACATTTAAAAATAAATAGTTACATGCTTATCACAGAAAATTTGGAAAATCTCGAAGAACATCATAAAATGTTATAGACCAAAACAATAAAACAAAAAAACTCTCCCTCAATTATAAATTCCTGTTGTCTCCATATTCTATCATCTTCATAACTAGGTTACTTAGAAGACTTGGTGCTTGCAGTTTCTTCTGTCTCACCTTCCATTCTCTCCTTTCTTAACTGAAATTCTATTTTTAAAGATTGTTAACTATCTCCTCGATGCTCACTGCCATAGATGTTTGAGTCTTTATCTTGGCAGCACTGAATATTGACGTTATTTTTTCCTCAAAAAACTCTGTCTTGTCTTAGTTTTTGAAATACTTTGTTCTCCTAATTTTCATTTTAACTTACCTGTCTACATCTTCCTAGTCTCGACCATGGACATCATTTACTCCACCAATTTGTAAAATGTAGGTGTTTTTTTAAGGATCTGTCCTAGGCTGTCTTCTTACTCTGCATGTTTTCCTTGAATATTAGATGCTCTCAGGGTTTCAGTTACCACATATATCCTGCTGACATCCTAACTTCTATCTCTAGCTGACTTTTCTCTCTTGAGTAGCAAGTATTTATATCTTAATCTTGAATGCCATTTCCTTGCTTAGTTGATATTGGTACTTAAATGCCTCATAGGAACCTCTCATTCAGCCTGTTCCAAACTGTATTTACTAAAAACACAAAACAAAAACTGTATTTACTATTATCTTTCCCGTTTCAGTCTCTGTCTCTACACACGCAAATACATACACCCACCCCTCTGTTTGCTCTTATGTTTTAGTTCAAGATTCCATTTATTTTTCTTAATCTATTTTTATTGTTTTCCATTAATAAATAGGTGGTGATAATCTTATCTTTCAAAATCCACCTCAAAATCTGCTTCCTTCTTCAAGCGTTTCCTAATTTGTGGTGGCTGTTTTAAATGGAATTAAAGCATTTGGCTATCGATACTGATAAAAACAACTTAGCAAATGATTTGCTTTTTGTAAATTAGTAAATTTGTTGCTTAAAAAAAGGGTGGACAGGAGGTAAGTGCTTATATAGAAGAAAGTGTGTGTTAGCTTTAATTCCACCCCTGTAGACACCCAATCCTTCTAGATCTCAAGTGTGTCCACTTATGGAAGTCCCCACTGATACCATTCTAACTCAAATTACTGCCATCTCTTACTTGAGTTATTTTTAACCTCCCCACCCCCAACTTTGGTCTGGTCCTCCCATCCATTTTCATGTTGCAGTCAGTTATTTTTTACAGAATAGAAATATGATCCTTTTATTCTCTTCCTTAAAATCCTAACATAGCCTTCCAGTGCTTGAATGATATAATCCAGAAGCCCTAAGATAGCTTATACAGCACTTTTGATCTGGCACCTTCTGACCTCTCAAGCCTCATCTTTTGGCCTTGACCACTGCCTTCACCTCACCACCAACTTTCAAACTCCAACCTATTGTCTTAATTTCTGTTCATCTTTTAAATCCCATACTAGATATTTTCTCCTCTTGAAAGTTTTTCCTAGACCCCTGAAGGATGTGAGTTAATCATCACTTTGAGGTCTTGCCATAGTGCTCTCTGTCTCTGCAGCCACAGCATCACCATTCACTCAATTAATGACACTAGAAACATCTTAGATGTTTCCCTTTCCCTTGTTCTCTGTGTCTGTTTCCATAACATTTTTTTATCTGTCCATCTTCGTTGCCACTTACTGTAGGACCTCATCTCTTTTTTTAAACCTAGATTCCTGTTTCTTACATGTCTCATCATGTCAGTTTCGTGTTTAACCTCCTTCATTGGCCTTCAAGATAAAATTCACTCTCATGAAGACCCTATATGTCTTCTTATTTTTCTCTTTAGCTTCATTTCCCAACATCTGCCCTGTGTTTCCTAGGTTAAACTCTTTCAGTTCTGTAAATGGACTGTGCTTTCAGGTTTCAAAATGTGCCTTTGTACATTGTGTTCCTTGCCCTTCTTCACCTGCCTCATTTCTTATTCATCCTTTAACGCTTGGCTTGAATACCAGTTTCAACAGGAAGCCCTCTCTAACCTTTTTTCTTCCCAATGTCTCCCCCATTTCCCCTTGTGTTAGGTGCCCATAGCTTTTTATACGTGCCTGTCTATGTTGTAGCATTTAGCTCACTATTTTATCTCTGTATTCTCATTATCTAGCACAGTTCCTGGCATGTGGAAAGTGGTCAGTAAATACTAAATTACAATACATAAGCATTTGATTGAATGTCATTTTCTCCTTCTCGATAGACCATTTTTCTAGTTTATCACAGGTGTTTTGCTTCCTGCCTGTCTTCCAAGTTGCTGACAGCCCTTACTGTAGTTTAGTAATCATAGACTTGTCTCATTTCCATCCCATTTTATTGCATATGTTGACTTAGAACCTGAAGTTATACTGCACTTGTACTTGAAGTGGCAAATGAAGTGATACTACATAGCAATTTGATTGCATCCTTATACAAATGCAGACTTAAATAGGGAAAAAAGCCACAGAAGCACTTTGATTTATATGTATTATATTTTGATTTTAACAGCTGTACTCTGCAACTGTCTTCTAAAGACTTCTTTTGAATCATTGTGTAGTAGAAACTAGGCTTTGCCTTGTGTGCAAAACATCTAATATAATCAGAATAGAGACCATGAATCTTTAAGTATTTTTTTCTATCAAAGAAATTAACATAGAAAATGAAGTTACTACTATGTAGTGGTTAGAACTTTAAGCTCTGTAGTCAAACAGATGTGGAATCCAACCTTGACTCTTTCAGGTGTGGTCTTTGTAGGCTGTTTTACTTCCTTGAGCCTCCATTTCCACACTTGGGAAAGTACCTACATCATAGTGTTGAAAGGATAGGGCAATGTGTGTGAAGTACTTGCATGGTTCCTGGCTCTTAACTAGTTTTTAACTACCAGCAAGAGTCAAGTTTTTTAGGTAGTAGTTTCTAATTTTAGTCTCAAAGACTTTTATTATTGAGAGTAGATAGTTTGCATAGCTAATATTATTTATAGATAATGTCTAAATGATCTTTGCATTAATTGTACATTATTAATACATTTTAATCAAGATTTTGACTTCATGTTAATTATATTGTAAATTAAGTTATGATTTTATCTGTATATTTCATGTTTCACAGAGGATGACTGCAAAGTAAACAGTAATATTTTACCTTACATTTTATATTAATGAAACTTTAGAGGTCACTTTTTTCTCATTAAAGCTTTAATTTTAATTCAAGATTATATTTTATAGCATAAATTTATTATTTAGATTACTTGTCTCTTGTAAATAACTTAATTGACGTTTTTGTAATTAATAAAATTTATTTTTAGAGCAGTTTTAGTTCACAGCAAAATTGAGCAGAAAGTACAGAGAGTTCCCACATATCCCCTGTCCCCACACAGGCAGAACCTTCCCCACTATCAGAATCCTGCACAGAGCAGTACCTTTGTTAAAACAATTGATGACCCTACATTGACACATCATTATCACCCAAAGTTTATAGTGTACATTGTTTCACTTTTGGTATTTTACATTCTATGGGTTTTGACAAATGTATTAATTGATTTTTTAAAAAATCCAGTGTGGAAAATCTTTCATTGGAGCATTTAATCTATTTTTATTTCCTGTATTTACTTATTTATTGGGGTTTAAATCTGGTCTTTCCTTGTGCTTTCTATTTATCCTGCCTAATCTCTGTCCTTTTTTCTTTTTTTGTTTTATTGGATTGCTCAGTTTTTGTTTGATTCTTTTTCTCTGTTTAGAGGCATGTTTGTGTTTATATACACACACACATCTACCTAAAGACATTATTGTATAGTCAGTGTTCATCTAAACTTTACCTATATATTTATCTTTTTTTTTTGCTCTTGATTTATTCCTATATCTCTGATTTTCATATCTCATAAGATCTTTCTGCTAAGAAGACCCTTTAGAAATTTTTTTTAAGTGTAGATCTGTTGATAGTGACATCTTTCAGTTTTTGTCGTTCTGAAAATAACTTTATTTTGCTGTTATTATTGAAATTTTTTTTTTACTGGTTATAGAATTTTAGGTTGGTAGTTATTTTAAGACATTATTTTATTGTCTTCTGACTTAAATTGTTACTATTGACAAGTCAGCTGATAGTCTGTGGAATGATCTTGAATGGAGCAGAAGCAATATTTGAAGATTAGATAACCCAAAATACTTTAAAACAGATGAACAAGAGCAATCTACAGATTCATGAAGGCCAGAGAATTCTAAGTAGGATGAATAGAAAGAAAGAGACATATCATAATGAAATTTTAAAAAATCAAGGCAAAGAGAAAAAATTCTCAAAAGCAGCCAAAGGAAAAAAAGGTATATTGGAAATAAAAGTTAAGAAAAAATATTCCAGGCAAATACCAAGCAAAAGGAAGCTGCATTATATCAGGCCCAGTCAAATTTTAAGACAAAAAAATTATAAGATAGAAAGTGGTTATATGTCATACCTGTAAAGGGTTCAAATCACCGGGAACATATAATAATTCTAAATTTGTATGCACATAATAACATGGCCTCAAGATAAATAAAAAGTTGACAGTACTTTAAGGAGATATAGACAGATCCACAAATCATGATTGGAGATTTCAGCACACACATTTCTTAGTAGTAGAACATGTAGATAAAACAATACAAAACAGAACACACAGTATCGGTATAGAAAATTTGAGTGAGATTGACAAACTTGACTTGATGAACATATGTAGAACACCCCCTAACATCTGCAGAATGTATATACTTTTTAAGTGTGGACTTTTGTAAAAATTTACCCTATTAGGTCATAAAGTAAGTCTCAACAGATTTCAAAGGATTGGGAGAGTTTGATAAGACTGGCATTGTTTCTTCCATAAATGTTTGGTAGAACTCATGGGTGAAACTTTTAAAGGATTGCAATCATACAGAATATGTTCTCTGACCACAGTGGAATTAAACTAGAAATCAGTAACAACAAAGCTAGTGAAAAAGTCTTGATGGAAATGAGAAAATATTTTTAGATGAATGATAGTGAAAGTGCTACATAGCAAAATTTGTGAGATAAATCTGAAATAGTATAGAGGGAAATTTATAGACACATATATATTCTATATATATGTGTGTGTGTATATATATATATGTATATATATATATATATGAAAAGAAGAAAAACTAAAACTTTATAACCTAAGCATCTATCTCAGTAAGTTAGGAGATGAGCAGTGGAATTAACCAAAGAAGGAAGAAGGGAAAGATAATAATGATACAGGAAACAAACATACAGTACAGAGAATCAACAAATCCAAATGAAAGATATGTGTGGGGTTTTTTTTGGCACGGGGGAGGGGGAAATTAATAAAATTGAAAAAAAGAGAAGACAACCATTATCAGGAATGAAAAAAGGAATATTACTATAGAATCTGTAGATATTTAGAGGAAAACAAAATATTACAAATAGCTTAAATTTGAAATTTTTGTGAAATGAATAAGTTTCTAGAAAAATATAACAACAAAATGGACACCAGAAGAAACAAAATCCAAATAGTTCTGTGACTACTAAAGAAATTAAAGCTGTATTTACAGTCTTTGAAAGGTTTAATATAGACCTACTAAAGAGGTTTAGTTAGAAGCTTTAGCATGCACCTAAATGAATGATATGAGTATATTTGCATATAATAGAACAATAATTCAGTCTATAATATCAAATATGATTCTTATAGGGAGGGATTGGACTTTATCTTTGCACTGTCTGTGAATAAAAGATTTGCTAAGTAACTTAACCAGCTAACTTACTTAAGAAGGTGGATGTTTTTGACCATCTTAAAAAAATCATAAAAATAATTGATGTGGCAATTAAAAACCATTAAAATTAACATTATCCCAGCTTAGCTCTTTTCATTCTATGTAATAAAATGCTATTTCTGTAAAGAAGACTGTCCCAAATTCATTTTATCTAAATATATTTTACATTTTATCCAAAAACATTTTTCACTCATGGAAATAGACAACAGAGATATCTTAAAAAGCTGTATGTCAGGTACTTTCTGATAGGGAAATGCAGAGAAACGTAAGAAATGTATCTTTTGCTGTTTTGGGGTTTGGATTCTATTTGGTGAGTGAGACCCCCTGGTATAGGAATTCTTAAACTGAATTATGTGAACCCGCAAATTATGTATATGTGAAATTTTTCTGCAGTGTTTATAAATTCCTTTAGATTATTTTTAGATATCCATGATCATAAAATGGTAAAAATCTCTGCCCTAGAAAGTCACTAGCCTAATATTTAGTACTATCTGTAAAATTTGCTTATTAATGCTTCAAAACCAAGCAGAGAGAAATTAGTAAATATATATATTTTACTATTTATTTGAAACTTAATAGTAGTTGTAGTAGTAGTAACCAAATACAGTAAGTAAATAGCAAAGTTCTGCTGCTGCTGCAAGTTACCATTAATCCTTAGTAGGAATTGTATGTGTTTAATATCAGGATATAATGCCTTGAGGTCAGAGTTGTTGAAATCAGTGAGGTCTCTCTGTACTAAGTCAGTTGGAGAGGAGTATTTGTGTGTGTTCGCTGTAGCTGTAGGGATGTGGGTAACACATTTGAACCACAACACACGCATATCAACAGCTGGAAGTAGATGCTATTAAATAGGAAATATGCATTACATTATGCTATAAGATTAACCAAACAATGTTCAACAAAGTAAATCATCAAGGAGCTAATTGACATTAATTTATTATTAACTCACAAGAATAGTAGCTGTTGAAAACTAATACCAGCTCAAGATAAGACACCCTTCCCTCCAAGCTGCAGAAGTTCCCAGCCATCTGCATGTGTTCGAGCTTTGCAGTTTTCTGTGATGGCCAAACTTCTCAGTAGAGTACAGTCTCAAAAATTTTAGCACACTCAAGTCACACTCATTTTAGTTTATGAATGTTAAATTTTATTTATGCTTTGTAACTCAGTAAAAACTAAAATATAGACTTGTATTTTATTCCTAAATAGAAACAAAGTATTTACATATTTAAAAAAAATTAATTCTGAGCCCATCCTGAGGTCTACCAGTGGGTTTAAAACATACTTTAAGAACAGGAAATTACTGGGGCCATCCTGGTGGTGTTGTGGTTCATGTGTTCCACTTTGGCAGCCCAGGGTTTGCAAGTTTGGATCCTGGGCATGGACCTAGCACCACTCATCCAGCTGTGCTGTGGCAGCATCTCACATAAAGTAGAGGAAGAATGGCACAGATGTTAGGTCAGCGACAATCTTCCACGAGCAAAAAGAGGAAGATTGGCAACAGTTGTTAGCTCAGGGCCAATCTTCCTCACCAAAAAAGAAAGAAAGGAAGAAAAAGAATAGGAAATTATTATGATATTTTTGTACAGGTAATTAAATTTCCATCAGTGGCATATATGCCTATGCAGAAGCTATTTGCTAAAATTCCTACAGCTTGCCTTTACTGGGTTAGTTGAGATATTATCAATTTAGTTTCCAAACCTCATTTTCTTTTAATGTCACCTTTCACTCTTCCCCCTCTTTCACTCTGCATTCACACTGCAGCATTTAATTCTCTAAATTTACTTCAAGCAAGTGCTGTAACTATCTGCTATTGCTATATTCAGTATAATAAAATCCAGTGGTTGTGTTAACCTAAGACTAGGTAGAAAGATTAATTTTAAATGTTTATTGTTTCACTCTTAAGATCTTTCTAGTTGAATACTAACTGAATATCTTGGAGGTTTTTGTTTGTTTCCTTTGAATACCCTTTCTTTAGAATTATTTAATTAGCATCTCGCTAAAGGAAAATAGCATTCATACTAAATGTTGCTGAGGGACCTGAACCAAACATAAATAATCATACCTGGGTTAGGAACTTAACCAGATACCCCCAGAACACATAAGTAAACAGACAAACAGGAGCTTCTTTTAGTATTAGGGTATTAAATGGAAGTTGTTTTGTTTTAGAGTGTTTTTTTTCCTTCTTTCTCTTTAGCAGAAAACAGAATCATTTTTTCTTAGGAAGTGTTATAATGTGTATGTGTCTTGGTATGGTTTTACATATATTAAACTAGTTATTTTTCAAAGTTATGAAATTAATAATAAAATAACCGGAAAGTACTTTCAAGATTTAAAGTCTTATGTTTATTTATGTTTACTTAGAATTGGTGCTTTGACTAGTTTTAGCATTCCTTTAACACATGGAAGCAGAGAAAGGGAAAATGTCTTAGTTTTTTTCTTTCTTTTTGTTTTAAAACCAGTGCCCAAACTGGACTGACTCCCTGGGTAGTGATCTCCCGGTACTCAGAGTAAAATCCGATTCTTTCCTTGGTCTGCAAGACTCTACATAAGCTAGCCCCTGCTTGCCTCTCCTACTGCTCACAGCCTCTTTGACCGTGTTCTGATGCTTGCATTTTTCCCTCCTCTTCCCTGCCAGCCTGTTTCTATCTTAGCATCTTTGTACTTGCTGTAACCTATGTCCAGAACAGACTTCCCCAGGTCCTCCTGTGGTTGTCTTTTTGATGTTTAGATCAAGACCACCTCCATAACACCCAGTGTAATACAGTCAGTCACTGTCATACCACTCTTTTTTGTTTTCTTACTGGTATTTGGGATTATTTCTTTATTAAATTGTTTCTTTTCTACCTCCTTACCCCCACTGTAGAGTGTAACTTCAAACTGGAATGTAAGGAGAAACTGTCTCTTTCATTGTATCCTTAAGATCTAAATTCCAGAACATCAGTTGATGATGGCACTCATTAAATAGTTGTTGAATTTATGAATTAGTTAATTGTTCCATCTATAAGTATTAATCATATTTTGAAGAATATCTTAAAGGACTTTTGGCGTATATATTTTGGGCTGAAAGTTGTCAGCATTTTAGTATTTCCATTTGATTAGTTTATCTTATTTTGCTGGTTATTAATAAGAAATAATAAGTGTTAATCTTAATATCTAGAATTACAATTTCGTTTTTGACAGGTTGACTTTGGCAGAATATCATGAACAGGAAGAAATTTTCAAACTTAGACTAGGACATCTCAAAAAGGTACGTGAAGTATATGCTGGATTTTTAGTTTGTTAGCAGAGGTTGTGGAGGGTTGTTATAAGTCTCTTATTGAAGAAGTCAAAACTTCAGAGAGAAAGATCCCAAATTAAAAGTTTTAGACAAAAAAGGAGGGGCATCAAGGTTGCATTTTTATGTGGAGTATATTAAAATAACGTTCCTTTACCTTGTGGCAACTTACAAACTTTGAGATGCTGATAATACCACGTCCCTGTAGTGGAGGAGTGACTCCTGGCCAGACCTCCAGGGTCTTAAGATTACTCTGTTTAAATACTATCTTTTTGTAAAAAATGCTTTATTTTTAAAATGAAATGTAAAACACCATATTGTTTGCATCCATTTTATAATAAATTGAAATAATTATAAATTAGTAACAAACTTGTTCCTTTGGCTTAACTTTAAAGCTGTTGAATACTTGATTAAATGTGTCAATTAAAATGAGTACATTGGCAAATTTAGAAGAGCCTAATCAGTCACAGTATAAAGTGATATAATTTAGAAATATGCTGCTATGTGTTATTATAGTGAATTTTTATAATGTATAGCTTTGTAACTTGTTTGTGAACTCAAATTATAATCAGTTTATTTTTTTTACAGTTCATATTTTTAGTTCAAACGATTTCAGAGAAATAGTAATAATAGAGTAAATTTTCCCCCTCAAAATGAAGTTATTAACAGATGTAAAGTTCTTTTTCTTTGACCCAGTTTTTTCTTCTGCTTTCTGCTTGTCACATTACTTAAAATTTTTTAATAGGCTGAATAGTAGCTAAAATAGAGTTAGTGAACTAATTGTAGATAGTAACTGTGAAGTTGTCTCCCTGGGGTAGGGTGAGGTAGGACAGAGAAGCTCATTCTGGTAGCAGATACGATCACACTGTATATAATATTTTGTTTATGGAATGCTATCAACATGCTTCAGACCCCTGCCATTTAATTACAGGGAACAGAAAAAAATTATAAATATTTTATATATATACAGTATATGTAATTTGCATTAGTGTTCTTTATAATACCATATTTGGCTATGTCCCTGCTTAGAACATTTTCCAGCTAAACTACTTGAACAGTAAATTCTAAAATGATTTATTCTGATTTTTAAGTTCTTCTGTTCTATTGTAATTATTGACTTTTCTCCTGCTCTTTGAGATATAGTAGACAACTTCAGTCTATTCTCTGTAACAGATGGAGATGTTAATGAGGTTATAGAAGGGAAGAGGGGATTTTGTAGTGGAGAATGAATACAAGTATGTGTGCCCATCTAAGCTGTTTTGATAATGATTTCGTAGAGATTTATGTTCGATGTCCCATATAAAGATTTATCAATTTTCTAACCAGTCTTTCATGATAATAGGACATTAAGTATATACTTAGTTATAATAAGTGTATATTTAGAGCTTTAACTGGAAGGTTATTTTCACATATAATAGTAAATTTTAAATTACTCTTTCTAATGATGAGATTTTATGTGTGTCTTATTTTATGAAAACCTGTTATATAAAATCTGAAATAATAAAGCATTTAAATTAGAAATTGGCTATTTGTATTATGAAAAATACTTCACTTTTTACAAGACTTTAGAAGAGGGTTTGTTTTTGGCTGGTTGGTGTTTGGTTGATTTTACAGCTTTCCTGGTACTTTGAAAATATTTGATTGCTCTGAAACACTTCCTGTTTCCTAAAGTGAGGAGTATACCTAAATGTCTAAATATTATATAAATAGTTGTAAGCTGTTCTAGAATACTACACCTTCTCTTCTAACCTCCATGTTATCCTCTTTCCCAGTGTTTGATTTCTCCATTTTTTGTATTTACTCATTCTTTCTAATAATTGTCCCCTCAATAATCTTTTTCTTATTTTGTTTTTTTTCAGCTTTTAGCAAATTTACTGAGCAGTTTTAGATTTCTAACTTTATCTTCTTCTTAACCAATTTATAACATTACTTTTCTTTGACCTCCATCATGGAATATTTTGGGAGAGTGGATGAACTAATAATGCTGAAACATACTCTCATGTCTTGAAATCTCACATTTTCTTCTGAGAGACTATTTTGGGTGAGAAGAATGAATGCATTATAAAAAAAAATTGCTAGTGCATACAGAGAACAAAATTGAGTAAGTAGTGTCACCTTAGAGCACAAATAAATAGCAGTTGTCTGCTTACCACTGGGTATTAATTTTGGGGTTGTACAATTAAAACATAATCATTAAGTTACATGTTTTAAAAATAGGTTATTTGGCATTCTAAAGCACAGTTGGAAAATAGGTCATTAAAAATAGGTCATTGTGTGTTCTGAAAATGAGGTAGAGTGGACATTTTAACACATAGAGAACAAGCTTGAGTTAAGAGAAAAGATGTTATCACCTCTGTCTTATTGGTTCCCTCTGCTCCTGGGTTTATTAAGCTGACATGAACTGTCCCCCAACTTGTTACTATATAGCTTCTACCATAGGCTGCATCTGATTGGTGAATATTTGATGTCCGTGTAACCCGCACAGGAATTAACCTGTGGTGTGTCAGCTTGGAGTTTAGATTTGGCACCCAGCATACTCTTGCATTAGCAAGGGTGACTCTCGCTCTCATTCTCCCTTTCATAAAAACTCTTAAAATTAAGCAGAATTATTAGATTAAATTTGTTGGCACTGAAGGAGAAAACTTCCTTCATTGAGGATGCCTATGCCATTTGGACATATGAGACTAGAAGGCCTATTTACATTTTCTTGAAATGGTTTATTTATGATGTGCATTGTATTGCATAAAGGTAATCATAATAACTGAATAAACTTAAATGTGAAAAAGTATATTTACCTTTGAATAAATTATAAAGTTCAGTTTATATTCTTTGCTATACTGTAATGTTAGAAATATAATAAATCCAAAGCTGTTAGTGTGATAGAGTAACAGAGTTAAGCAGAAACTTCTAAAAGTCCATGGCTAAAATAGTTAGATATTTCTGGTTACCACCAAATAGTAAATGTAAACTTACTTAAGGACTCATTGATTGTCTTCTGAAATTAGGAAAATCACTGCAATATCATCTTTTTAAAAATATATATATATATCAAGAATTATTTAGTATTTGTTGTTTTAGTTAGTTTATAAAACCATTGCTCACTCATTCACTAAGTGATTTATTTCCACACTGCCTGATAGAGGCATGATTCAAATTCCCATTTCAGGAGAATTACATAATATTACATTTTATGGACTTCGAAGTTTTAACCATTCTGGAGTGAACATCACTGTTAACTTTTTGAATGCCAAGATTTTCTTCTCTATGTGCTTTGTCTAAATTAACACAGCTAGTACCCAGCAAAGCCAAAACTTGAACCTTTTCTCACTCCTGTTTCAGTGGCAATACCCATATGCTTTATTTCTACAGTTCTTTTGTTGTAGATGGATAGAAAGTTGATTCCTTGTATTTAGAAGAATTAACTCACTTGTAGTTTTCTTTGCATCTCTCGGAGTAGTGAGGCTGTTTGCTTTTCATTTTTTCAGAAATGTGCTACTTCATTTACATTACAGACAGAGGAGAGCAGTTAAGTTTTTCTCACTCTCTTTCTCTCGCAAATTGTTTTCCTTGGGTATTCCGTAGTGACTCGTGTATCAGCTAAAATATTTATCATTAGCTAGTATATTGCTCTTTAAATTTATTTTTAAAGCTGAACAGAAAAAGCACATTTTTTAATAAAAAGTGTAAATACTCTCTAAAATAATTTTACCTTTTATATAGCTTAAGGATTTAACAGAGTAGAACAGAAAAGAACTATAAGAAAGTATATGGAGACCATACAAATTATTCATGAAACTCTTTTTTAAAAATAACTTTTTTGCTACTGGTAATTATGTACAAACTTCCCCAATTATCACATTAAAAGCTTGTCATTGCAATGGGAGTAACTTCTGTCTTTAAAAAGTTCTTCCTTTGAGGCAGAGCTACTAATTATCCCATTTTATGTACCTGTGTCACGTGTGGAGTTACAAAAACTACAAACCATATACCAGTTAGCTTTTATAGTTGATCCTGTTTTGATACCAGTCTTTGGTAAATTCTAGTTAGGGGAAAGCAATTTATCTTCGTGATTTAAGGAGTTCTGCTGGGTTGTTACTTGTATAGTTCAGCTCATTATTCTAGAATTGAAGAAAACTACATAAATGTGCTTTCCATGGATTGCTACTAAATTAACACCAATAACTTAAAAAAAAATCCCTGAAAAACCGTCTTCCTTATAATAGAGTCTCTCTATAGTCATAATATTATTTAAAAGATAGAGGTTACCAATCATAATACCCCAAAATAATGAGGAAATAAGAATTTTGAAAATTTTCGGGACCAATAACTATGTCTTGCCACTGCTGTTGCTCAAGTTTGTGATGTGAACAGCATGTGGATATGTGTTGCTCTTTATTTTGTGGTCTTTAAGTTTTGTTGTCTTCTAGAATTTAAATATTTGATTAGTTGGGGAGAATGCATATAGGAGATTTGACATCTCAGTATAAATAGTATATTAGGGATTGGCTTTAATGTATGTGTCGAAGTGGGTGAGTGTGTGTGTGTGAGAGAGAGAGAGAGATTTATAAGCCTTCAATATAAGTGCCAGAAGTTTTTTGGAAAAACATAACCAACTTGTAATTGAAACAGGATTAGTCAAGAATCATCAGCACCAGCACAAATGTATCTTTGCAGACCGAAGGAATCAGCTAAACAATTTGCAGTCATCTCAATCTCTACTAAAACAAAAATCGCATCCAACATGCCACCTGACACCATTTCTTTCTCTCTTTCTCCTTTGCTCCTTGCGATGTGGCATTCATCTCTCCTTGTGCCTCCGTTCTGAAGAGATAACAGTATAGCAACAACTCTGCCACTGAAATCCTGTTCTCTGACCGATATTGGCACCTGCAAAGAGAAACAACCAGTAACAGGCAGCAGCAACATCAGTATTAATCTTCCATGATGAAATCTTTACAGGTCAAGAACAAGCA